AAACCTGTCGTTACAGTAACCGAATTCATATCAAGACGAGTTTCTCGTCTGAGGCGAGTAAATCCGTTTTCTAATATGAATTCAGCTAATAACATACTCTCGTTGTTGTCCTTTATGCTGGAGCTTAATATGAAATATTTTACCAAACGTGCGTAGGACTTTCTCACGTTCGATTCTCTTCACCCCTGGTGAGACTTCCTCAAGCTTGTCAAACAGATCACACACTTTCAGCTCTTTTCCCTCTGCAACTGTCACACAGGTCTGAAGAATTTTCTCCAAATCCAAACTGAACTTACGATGAATCCGATTAACTAGAAAAACATTTACAGTCAAAATACAAGAATCTTTCCACTTCCATACCAATACAGAACAACACAGAACAAATTAAAGAAAATAACAACAGAATAGGTGGATTAAATTTCTTGTATTTTGACTGTTTTATACACAATTGACAATTACATTCTTCAATACATAAATATTGAATTAATTTAAATAGCCTTACCTCTCCGTTTCGTTCCATTTGGAGTGATAATAACGCTTCTAAGTGGTTCAACACCACTTTTTGACGGTATTAATGTGGTACTCGCTGGCGCAGGTTTTAATAATTCTGTTGTTTACAGATCGACCATTATCATCTCCATGATCAACTGTTAAATATACCGATGGCGATGGCCTTCATTCTGACATTTCCAACAATTCTTTTCGCATCAAACTCAATTCTGCTTCTCTTCTTTCGATATCTAGACGCTTATGTTTTACATTTCTTAAACTGTCCTTGTACTTTTTACTTAAAATTGGTATTTTACTTATATATCTCCGCTGCTTATCGTCAATTTGCCCACATGCTTTCGACGCCATATTTACAGTAAGCATGTAGAATGCAATTATATTATGTGCAAAACCTTCCCTAGGGTACCCGGGTACATTGGCGCATCCATCCAATCTACATCGGCACGTCACTACCATTCGATATATGGCAGGCAACCATACCTAATTTTAGTGTGCAGTGATAACCAATTTGTGCAGTGATAAAAGTAAAATGTGCAGTGATAAAATGTAAAATGTGCAGTGATAAAATTTGCTTTGATAAGTTGTTAATTAACACAAGAGAATGATTCAATTGAAATTGAAATGATGACTGCCAAATTAGCAAATTAAATAATAGTATGTTTTTTGTACGAAAATCATGAGATTCAGGCAATTTTTAGTTAATATCTGGCTTTTGGTATGTCCGGAAAAAATTTTTGACCCTTAAAATGGTACACTGACCAAAATTTTTTGGTCAGTGTACCAGGTCGCCAAAGGAGGTCGCCAAAAATTTCCGAATATTCTGAAATTTTCTTAGTCATTCGGAAATTTTTTGCATAAAATGTGCAGTGATAAAAAATTCTTAAAATTATGTATGACAACCAGAGTCCTAAGATAACTTCAAATGGTCAATAAATGTTTACTAAGCTTCATTATCCGTGCTTCTAAAGTCTCTAGGCCAGAGCAAGGTAAAGGAAAGGAAAGGGAAGGGTAACAATCTTCAGTGCTCGTCTTTGTATTGACTTGATTAAATTTGACAAACCAGCAGCGAGAATAGACCATGCTTGAGCAGCATATTCAACACGAAATCGGCTAGATCGTATGATTGAACAGTAAATAGAAACCAAATCGTGCTCTCCAATCCCGGCTCTCTTTAATTGTCGTATATAATCTAGCTTGCTTTCTTAATAATAAATTCCACATCAGGACTCCATGGAAGGCCACGAGACAAAGTAAAGCCAAGCAATTTGAAGGAAGGAATGGATTCAACCGGAAGGCCGGCCACGTAAATCGGATGTATAATAGAGGTAGAATATTCCAAGAACGATATATTAACATTTCCTTACACTTTTTTCGGATTAAGCTCTATGGCCTTGCAGAAGAAAATTCACTAATTTCATCCACAACGATTGGTGAATATACTTGGCTAGCAGCGAGGAATTATTTCTGGTTGTATCATTTACAAATTTAATTCTTCTTCATCAACTTTTTAGTGGAGGGTTGATTAAAATTGCAAACAAAGTCGGCCCAACTAGCCTGGTCCCTTGCGACAAGCCTCCGTTCACTGTTTTCCAAGAAGAGTATGATTCTCTAATCCTAACTCATTGCTTCCTATTTGTGAGAAAGAACTTTATCTACTGAATAGTAATAGGGTTAACATGAAGATTTTCAAGCTCCTGAACAATAATATTGTAGCTAACCAAGTCAAAGCCTTTCCTAAAATCAGCAAAGAAACGTCTTATCGCACAGTGACTGACATATGTCTAACATATGGTCTAACCCAGCCAGAATTTTGTGGAAAAGGTACATCTTTCAAGTTTACTAAACACCAATCTACAATGAATTTTTCTCTTGTTGGAACATCAGTAATTTGGCGCAAGCCAAATAGTCTTTTTTTAAATACGATTCTCCTTCAATCCAGTAAAATCACCGGTAAAATCACCGGTAACCATAACAAGAGCTTCTGGATGTTTACAAAGATTTGTGTCAACATTAGATTGAATATGTTCATTCAAATCATTTTTCTCGGAGGCACTTGCTGAGGGGGAGGGGGAGGGGGTGGGGGTAAATAACAGCAAGGAGTGTAACTGAAATTTATCTTGGAAGACGATTTGGTCGAAGTGAAATAGGGATTCAATAGACAGGTATTCAAATTCCTGGATTCATTTACTTTTGTATATTCTTATCAAGTCATTCTTGACATTCTTGTAGCAATGATCCTACTTTGTTTATTTTACTTGGTCTATAATCAACTCCAGGTGATTTTACTTGTGAGGGGGAGACCATTGAACCTCATGTGTAAATGAAAACTATTTTAATTACAGCTGTTTTTCGTATGTCACATGATACCAAATAATTCAGTAAAATATATGCAACCCCTCCTCCATCACTCAAAAATTCTTACATCCTTCCTAAAACATTTGCTCAGAAATGTCTGCCCCCCCCTACCACCACATTTCATACCGGCCCCCTGTATTAATAATGAACGGTCCCTTAATCTATAAAGTATAAATGACCAATGTTTGACACGCTACGAAACATTTGTCGCGACTTGAGTCGCTTTTTCGTCCAAATTAACCCACTTTTCATAATATTTTAAGATTTTAGCAGTTGTATTAACTTGTATGAGGTGCTAAATGACACAATTCGCCAGATTTACCTCTAAAATGTCTAAAACATTGCCGCGCAGAAAGCGTTATGCTAGATTCTTCATCCATATTTATGATTTGAGTTGTTTATGAGCCCGCGTTTCATAGAATACTTCAAGTAATTATGCCAAAAGATCAAAGATACCGCGGAATTCAAGATGGCGTTTAGCGGATGAAAATATCAAACTTTGGCCTTACATTGTGAAAAAACAGCGCGTTTCTGCGCGTGGGAACAAAGATATTTAAAATAAGCATAGTTTATTCTCCTAATTCCCGTTAAAATATTTTAGCACCGCGATGGGGGCGACGGAACTGAACGTTTTCATGCCACAGCTAACGGCCTATATCAGGTCTTTTCAACTTCAATCCATCACCAGTGCTGCATCTTAGATCGTACCACAGGAGTGGTGTCAGTGATGGGACGAAGAGATAAGTACATTTCCAATAATTTTCCATGCTGCGTTGCCACATAAATAGTGACCTAAATTTTCCTTTGTACATTTCCAATAATTTTCCATGCTGCGTTGCCACTAGTCTCCTACGCAGCCTGTTCGCGTAGGAGACTACGTTGCCACATAAATAGTGACCTAAATTTTCCTTCGGAGCGTTTAGATTTGCAACCAGCAAATTTGCTTCAAAATTGTGCAGACTATTCATAGTATCTCAGTTCGGCAGTCCTTAGACAGTGCCACAGAAACCCAGGTGACAGAGTAACCGAATTTGTATAGGTAATCGCATGGGGCCGAGTAAATTTAAGGTTTAGTCAGTTCACGCGTGTTTTCAAAGTTTCACAAATTGAATAACTATTAAGCTTCACTCACGATGTTAAATCTCATATCGCACTTGTACCATTAATCAACCATTACTTAGCAACATCGCGGAAAAACGTCTGCGCGTGCCTCAACATTACTGAAATCTGTATAGCGAACGTAGTGTCAATGTTTTGCCTTTTCTATGAAAATGCAAGTGAAATAATGAACATGACAACCTAAAACTAGAAATAATTATAGTCTACAAGTGCAAGAAGTAGTATATGCAAGAAAATAAACCAAAGGTGACTGTCGATAAATTTATTGTATAAAACGTTCTAGAAAGATATTTTCGTAGGTTCATATGATCCACATTTTTGTCAATAACTTTTTTTGCGTAGCATGTATAATTTTTGCGTTGACTACATTTAAGGGCAATGATTTACTCCACCGGCAATTCAATCGTGTGCAAATGCTTAACTATTCGATAGTTTTCTTAACTTTTGTGTCTTAAGTTATTCGACAATTTTTTAAGAAATGTTCACACGCCTCCCGGTCTTAAACGGTAATTTTTAATTTAAATTCTGTTTCTTTTTTAGATTTTACATGTTAGAAAACTTTTTATTAATCTATAAACTATCCGTCTAGTGTATTTTTGTTTGTTTCAATTACCTAGAATAATTAAATAGCCATGTTTTTTTTTTACAATTTGGCATCTACCGTAGTATAACCGCATCTTGAAACCTCAGTCTAACTGCAACTGATCGAACCCCGGTAACCACATGTCAGGTTTCCTCTGCGGAGTATATACTTTAGTTAATTTAATGTACAATACCAGTAACCAACAACCACATTCGCAATACAGTCTACATAATATAACTGGAGTAATAGGCCCTTAAATGATAGAAGTCAATTACACAGATAACACGTCTTGACTTTTCTTTGTCCAAACCTTTTGAATCTGTGCAGGCACTAAATAATATTAATGAACTAAATAATAATGAATTAAATAATATTAATGAACTAAATAATATTAATGTACTAAATAATATTAATGTACTAAATAATATTAATTAACGAGCCAAGTTTGTCTAGTTGGATCAACAGTTCACACTAAGTGTATCAGTTTCTCAACTCACTAACTTTGACGTGACGCACTTTCCTGGGTATTAACGATACATCGTAGGTGCAGTGCTGTGCTCTCGTAGGATGAGAACCGCTTCAAAATCCACTGTATGGGCGTTCGCCTGGTACGTCTGCGGAACAGTGTCTTAAAAGATGTATAAAAATCAGGCCGGTAAAACGTATAGAGCAATGGATTTATAAAAGAGGTCGAATACCTGATAATTGTGAAAATGTCTACAAACCCTTTTGAGAAGATAAATTCCCCGCTTGAGACTGCATTGAGAAGACTGATTACGAACCAGAACAACCAACATACGGTGAAAACTAGTAGCATCACTGCAAAATGGATGGCTGCTTTATATCTGTTCTTGTTCGTGTTACTACTCTGGTGTTCCGGAAAATTGTGTCTGCGAATGAACTTCATGATTTTTGAATACATTCGAGCATGCGCAAATATCATAAGGGTAAGTGGGAGTAGGAATCCAAACGAGAACGAAAATATTTCATAGATTGACATTTTAAGCATAAAATCTTTAAATCTTTGCTAGGCTGTTTTCGAACGTCAGTGAGGTCACCAGTAACCCAGGTTGGTGGCGCTACGGCGACAATCAACGCCCCAAACCACATTATTAATGCTATACCCAGGACTTTTTTCTTCTTGATCTTAACCCGGTGCTCGACCGGTCATAGGATAGCGTAGTAGGTCTCGAATGTTATCGCCAATATATGGTATACTGTAGAAATCGCTATAAGAAGCGATTCAAAATTCCAGATGGCATGCAGAGTCCTAGAGAATATGTGACCGCGCATACTATATTCAGGGGAATGGTGACGAGTTCTGTCGCGACGTCACAGATTGGGCTATTCCATTTAATATCCGTACCCCCCCTGTCGAGGATACCTGGAATTCTTCAGGGGTAGAATGTTTTGAGCTTGGAATTCTTCAGGGGTAAAGGAATTTGAGCTTGGAATTCTTCAGGGGTAAAGGATTTTGAGCTTGGAATTCTTCAGGGGTAAAGGATTTTGAGCTTGGAATTCTTCAGGGGTAAAGGATTTTGAGCTTGGAATTCTTCAGGG